TTACGTTCTACACTACATCATGATTATAATATATCACCAGCAATAAGAAAATTCAAACCCGAAATAATTAATTATTATAATACCACAAAACGTGGAGTAGATACTCTAGATAAGTTAGAGAATACTCTTGTAGACGCTGCACCCGCCGTTGGCCACTATCGTTATTTATGCACTACGTAGACATCGCTGCATATAACGCGTTTGTCATATGGAATACTAAATACCCTTCATGGGAAAACAGAAATTCAGTAAAAATGAAGAGAAAAATGTTTTTAGAAGAATTATCAAAAAAATTGACAGCTAAAAATATAGACAGACGAGCTGTACAATTTGAAAATCAAGAAGCAGGATTACATAAAAACGTTATAAACGCGATAGAAGTGACGGGGAGAAAAATTGTAAGAAATACTAGAGTAGCAGGTCAAAAGTGTGCTAGGTGTTGCTTTTGTACAGGAAGCAACAATAAATATTCTTTAGTTTGTAACTATTGTAACAGACACGTTTGTAATGCCAATTCCACGCAAACCCATACAATTATATGTAATGTATGCAATAATAGATAAATTCATGTAACAAATATTTCATAAGCATTATTTTTTTATAATTCACAGTTATAGTTATTTTGCCCTCGTAAACGTAAGACAGAAATCATAACGTAATCCGAAACCGTCTATGTCAGCATGGGTCTCGGTCGAGTGATCGTCACTGTGTTAGTACAGTATCGGTGAGGAGCTCCAGCGACCATGAATATGGTTTAGTGGAATATCGGTGTGAGTCAGAAGTGACTCTGGCACGGATCTGTGGGCTGCGGCACTCGGAGGGCTAACCTAACCTATCAGTGATAGAGATCATTAGACTAGTGATGAAGGGGCAAAGATCATTAATCATTCTTTCTTGTTACGTATCTACCTTAAGGTTAGGGATGTATTATTAGTAACATGTAAAACTTAAAATTTATACATATAACTTTATTATTATTCCAAATTAAAGTATAAATAATATGTCGAAAATGAAGGTGAAACTTTGACGACGTTTACATAGGCCATTGAAGGGGAAGGATTTCTTTTCTTAAATCTTTGTAACTGACAGTGAGCACATGAATCTTTATCGAAATCCCAAAAGTAATACAAACACAGAGTGACGTTGGTTCTATATTAAACGACGTACGATAACAAATTGCGTACTTGACCGATTTTAAGTCTCTTTTTCAAAAATAATTATTTTATCATAAGGAATTGCGTCTTTTCGGTTGTATCACGATTGTTGGAACACCCTATAGAGCTTGCATACTGGGCACGAGAATATTCTGTAAAATGTCGATATATTTATAATAGTTTATGTACAGCGACACTTTCTTATTGCACTTATTATGTCTGCATGGGATTAAATGGGTTTCTAGATATGTAATGCCGAATTTTTTGATTAAGAGAATACCTTTTCATTAGTAAAAATTGTGCATTCTCACTTAGATTGCGTTGTACGTAATTCCAGTACAAAACCAACAAGAGCCATGTGATGGCTTTACTGCAACAGCTCCTTACCTTTAGGTCAACAAAAGTGGTAGTAACTAACCTCTAGCTAATGGTTTCACACAATACACAAAGATACTAGTAAATTGAATTTTGCGAGTAGATTAAATATTTAAAATAGGATATTTAATTACTCATCACATTACTAACATAATCTTAAAACAACTGCTGATTGCAATCTCGTAAGCACATAAATTTATAAACACATTTCTTTACTCATATATTTGAATGCACTTTTCTAATTTTAATGAATTAATATTTAAGCATATAAAGTATCACTCAATAACAATATAAAACACTAACACTAGTAACATTAGCTATTCCTGCAATATATTCATGAATAAAGAGTTATTTCTAGAGTAATAATAGATGGAAAGAAAGGATATTATTATTTTGTTACCAATGTATGTATATATTGTTAAATATGTGGTGATTTTTTTGCTTGATAATATAAAGAGCAGGATGAAATTATAAAAATAGTTTTCCTT